GTAGTAAGTAAGTAACGTAACGTAGTAAGTAAGTAAGTAAGTTAATAAGTAATAACGTAACTAACTAACGTACGTACGTAGTAGTAGTAGTAGTAGTGTTTTTATTCATTTCTATATACAAGTATGTATATATAGATATAATATTAAGAATAATTTTATCGAAAATGTGAGTGAGCATAACCTAGCGATCAGAGTTTCTGGCTTTGACTCGAAGGTTCGATCAGCTATATACTTACTGAACACGATCCATACATTCAGTTGTGGACGCGTCATGGCAGTCAATCCCGCTATTCAATCAGGAATAGCCTTGTAGGTGGCTAGTGTTATTGATTAATTATCTTTCTGCAAAACAGTTTTAAATAAGAATGATCACTGAGTTTGATCACTAGTTACCCCATGTGATGACATTTAGCTTGAATAAAGCACAAAAAATTAGTTTCAACTTCCCATTCTTGCTACTTTGAAATTTCAATGCTGCTTGTTACTTTTTCAGATACCAAATGACTTCCTAGCGGACTCGTGCAATGAGCCTGTGGTCGAAGCGAACTACAGTTGTCTTCACGATTGGCTAACTTCTCTTGGTCTTCCCATGTATACAGAACACTTTCAACGAGCGGGATATAGCCAACTGGAACAGATTGTTTCGTTAAGAGAAGCTGATCTCAGACATTGTGGAATTAATTGCTCAAGACACTTGAGACTTCTTACGTCTGCTATAGGCACATTGCATATCCATTTGGCTAAATATGGAACAGGCTGAATTAACAGTTATTGATTTGATTTACACATTTGAAAGATGCCGAACACACGAGAATGACGGGTGTTGCGTTTAAAATTATGTAGTCATCACATTTACTAATTATCTGAGATTCTCTTTCTCGATGAATGTCACGAGATCTGAATAGTGAGTTTGGGTGTAATATTCTGTTGAAGTCTTATTAGGCTTAATTGTTTTCTGTCTGTTGTCTTTTCAGTCGTAATCGTGTTTGCTAAAAATGCTAACAATGTTTGTCATTTTGTTGATAACTCCTTCGTATTAGCAATCTACGTTAACTTTTTCGATGTGCGTCATATTGTTCTATTGAAGGAAGTATTGCTGCCCGTGTTTATAGTATAAACTCGGTTGTTTGTCATTGTTAATTAATAGCAATCATTATAGAATATTACGAATAATATATTAACAATAGAACCATGACCTGTTTTAGCAATGTAAAAGATTTCTGTTTGCCTATTCATTGTTATTATTATTATTATTTACTTTCTGTGATAGTTATTTTTTTTGGTATTATTTTATGCGAAAATAAGTCAAACAAATAATTTTAGTCAAACGTGAAGCTGGAAAAGTATATTCAAGCTGTGCTGATTATTAAAATTATTTAAAAAACGCTATATAACAAACTTTCAAAATAAAGGTTCTTATCTTGTGAAACTTTTCGCAATTTGTTTGGGCCGAGCGTGGCCCAGTGGTTGGCGTACTGGGCTATGGAGCTATAGGTCCAATGTTCGCATATCTTTACTGCAAAAAAAAAGCGCGCTCCGCACTTTGGGGCCGTTAGTGCGTTATAAGATTGACGGCCAAGTCCCATTATTCGGTCAGACAAGAGTAGCCCAAAAGTTGGCGGTGGGTGCTGTTGACTAGTTGCCTTTCCCCTAGTCTATCAGTTCAAAATTAGAGACGGCTAGCGCAGATCCCTTGATACTTTGGGCGAACATCCAAAAACAAATACTGTTAACTGAAAAAGGTTTTGAGACTTAAAAATATTACGCAAACGAAAACCCAAGAAGTTAATTTCTAGTTGCGTGACAAGCTATATAATAGTATCAAAACCTGTTTTTTGTCAGACTTAGTTTATCAACGATATAATTCAACTTTGTTATCGACAAATTTGTGAGCCTAGTTTTTACCAGGTGTTTAGTGGAGCAGGAAAACAATATTTAAGCTAAGTAGTGATTAATTCTCCAGTTCGTACAGATTTTGAGTATACTCCGCCTTTTATCATATAAACGAAAAGTGAAACACATAAATTTGTTATTGTATAGTTTCAACCAAATGAATTATTATTTTATTTTCATGTAAATTCACGGTGTTTTTATATTTAAACAGTCTTTTGAATGATTAATAAATAAAGGTAAGTAAATTCTATGTAAAAAAAGTGGTCTTCTATTTTAATACAGTGGTTTCCTTATGTCTTTATAAGACAAAGGTTCAAATCTGTATATAAATATATATCAACCCTTCCAACGTTGCCTAAGGAAACCATAATGAAAATGTTTTATACTTTTTTGAAATACATAAAGTGTTCCTGATATTTTATAAACAACTTTATATTTTGTCATGAAATCGATAAAACAATCGAATGTATCAGTACATCTGTTAGTAATATTGAAACGTATTTCAGCTAATCAATTTAATTCAGATTTATTTTATAGGTAGCTGGAGCACTAAACATTTTAAATTATTATGCATAGAAGTTTGTTCCATTACAATGTCAGCATTAACAAGTTTAATGCAAACACATTATGAATTCCAATATGATTTTGTTGTTGTGTCTGTTGTTTAAATTAAAATAGATAAAATTAATTAGTATTGACTGATGAACTACTCAAACACTAGTGTAACCTAAAAACTGCTGTAAATGAATTAAAAAAGATACTTTGAAACCAAACTAAACATATGCCTTGTTTTTTTAAATCGTCTCTTAGTGAATATTCGTAGGTAATTGGTATTTCGGCATTTTCTCTTGAATCAACATTGGTTTCAAAGCTCGTTTTCACTTGTATATGTAATATCGAATATTTGATATAGACGTGTGACCAATATATATGAAACACAGTGTTTATTATTATCCAATTAAAACTACACTTCCGGTTTTCAGCTAGCAATTTATTTAAGAAAATGTAAATACATGTTTCGTAACTATTACGTGGACAATTTTTAACTGTATAAATGGTTGAATAGACAACAACAGCTAAGATATTAACATTGTTTTTTAGAGTTAAATATTAATCAAAAGTATGAAATTGCATGTTTCTCCCATTTATGTTATCTCAATTTCTTGATAAGTATATCGTGTCTTAAGACATAAGTAATAGAAATCAGCGACCTTGTAGACCATACGTGAAATATACTGTATGTTTTTGTTTTTTATGAGATAAAAGTACAGTGACGTTTATGTATAATCACTGTGTACGTGTTTTTCTTTGTTACTTACGTGAACACGTTTAGATTTCCATAGAAAGGAAAATTGTTATTAACAAATATTTTTGTTTTCTCACGAATGTATCAATTAATTTCATATTAAACTTAAGTGTCGTCTATTTATATGGTGTTACGTATTAGAATTTCAAATAGCCTGAAATTGAGTTAAATGATACTTTAAATTCAGTAGTTAAATTGTACTTTGGATTTAGCAG